CATCTTTAAATAGAACTTCGGATACTAAACTTCAGTTTTATTAGATAGTCCATCTTTCTTAGTGATGTTCAGTATCGTTGTTAGATTTTTCAAAATACTTTTTCTTCATCTTGTTCATAGTGTCTTATTTCTTGAGCCACTAAACCTTTTTTCAGACGCGATTTGATGCACTTTCTCTGTTCTCTTTGACACCTAGTGGTGTTCTGTCGACCGCTGGTCATCTACTTCCTGGTGTCGTTCACAATCTCGTCGTCGTCGCCTACGATGGAGGTGTTCCTTCCCTGGAGACGACGGCCATTGTCACAGTAACGGTCCAAGGTGAGCTATGACTGCAATTGGGAGGCTTATTCAGGGACACCTCAGGATATAAGATAGAATCTTTTATCAGAAAAGGGTGCTCCGCAGAGGTCGTGTAGTTTCCGTTCAGCAGGTTTATTAGGAGCAGGCCAGCCGTTGTCAGATCAGACTCACTCGTTTTCAGGGACTTCCTTGACGGCTCCTGCTATAGATATTATCTGGTTGACAGAGACCGCTATGGCACATATCCTCGAGAATGTCACCCTTGGCACCATCGTTGCTCGGCTGAGTCTCAATGAGGAGCAAAAAGACAGGTAAGACTACTCGCCTGCCGAATTCTTTATTTGTCGTTCTTCCTGATTTTCCTATATTTTTGTCATGTCATGGTCCTTGTCATGGTACTTTTTAGTGTTGTCAGTCTTTCTGGATGCCCATCGCTATGCCTGCGTCAGAGCCAGTCGCCATCGGTCTATCTGCTGTTGGCATGTGGTTTGTTTGATCGTGAAACGTCACCAGAATATCATCTCAAGTTCAGTCTCCGTCGAGGATCAGAACTAGTGCTGGAGCATCCAGTGCTTCTCACAATAGGTTAGCTCCCAATCGATCTATTGACTTTTCACCCAAGAGTAATATGGCGACCCCCACCCCACCACAACAAACCGCAGTCTAAGGCCATCTGGACCAACTCAATGGCTCAATTATTTCCATAACCTGGTGAGAAACAAATTTTGGTCTGCTGCAAAAAAAAGCATAAGTCATATTAAGCGTGAGCGCGACATGAAGAGACGCGAGCGGCTGTATACTCGAAATCCCTGAGATCGGGTAGGCGTGGCCGCATGTTTCAACTTAACCTGAAGGTGTCTATGCTTCTGGTGAGATATTTTCATCTTGACACAATTGTTGTCGTGTCTCTGTCCAACCAGAACAAGATGACAGTTGTCCCAGACTGGAATATTCCACGAGTAACCAATTCCGTGCCATGTTCAAATGCCACGCCTACTCTGGCTCAGGGATAAGGAGTGTAACTTGCGTGCTCGTAGTCATTGCTATACTCCCAAATGGGAATGAGCCAAGCTGACTTTGTTAGACGGACACCTTTCGTGCCCATGATTACGTCAAAAAAGCTTACATGAGTCTACTTTGCATTAATTTCTTTTTTGTTCCGCGATAATCGCTTGTGAGCAGGTGGGCGGAGACTCTTTGCCACCTTCACTGGCACCCCGTACTTTTGATGTGGCAGAAGAAGGAAGAGCGCGCCAAAATAGACAGTGGTTTTGGGTCTCCGCCCACCCAATTGACGCGGAATGTATTCTTTTAAAGGCTACGTTTTTTGACTTTTTCTCCGCGTTCGCCATT